AAATCTATATAAGTCACTGCTTAGACAATACTTTTTACTATTATCTGCGACTTGAGAATTATCAGTCCTTTTACTATCACTACGCCATTCGTTAATCATACTAATAGCTGCATGAAGTTCAAGCGACAATATCACTTAGCTCTGCCACTGTGCCTTTATCTGTCCACCTAACTGTTTCTTCTTTAGGACCATTTATCATGCGCTCGAGTGTGGCTGGCTCCGCCTATTAATTCTATTATCGCTACCCTGGATAGCCGGTAGCACTTTATTCCACAATGAGTTCGCGTAATTACTTGACCGTATAAAAAGGCCTTTCTAGCTATCTATATTTTGAACACATCCATCACAAAATAACCTTATTTAACACAGTCTGCACCTCAATTCGCCTTCGTAATGAATATATGCTGGTAAATTAATGTTTTGCAGTGTTCTAATTCTTTATCATAATCAGCCATATATTAGAGGTTGTTTGGTGTTTTTAGTTATGAGAGTGAAACGGCACTCATTACATAATTTAATAAGATACCCAATCATTGGCGAATTTCTTTAGAATAGCAGTTCTAGTCGAGAAAATAATAAATGTCCCCATTTTCAGCATCAAAAAGGAAGACGTTTGATCCTTTACATCTACCATCATTTTTAAGGTAAAAATTAACGAATAACATATAAAATTTTTATTCGTCGAATATCATCTGCAAGAAATCAATTAATTATGAAAATTATTGTAAATCTGAGCAAATAGTTATGATGAAATATATTATCCATTATTATCTAGTCATATCTGGGTATCCGACTACTAAAATTTATTTCAAATTGACCATATTTATTCGTATATATGTTGTAGCCTCTGTATTGATCACAGTCTCCTTTCGCTGTATGGAAGTGGTCTGATCTCGTTTCGCAATTTCATCTTGTTGTCAGCATAATCTAGTTGGACGCTTCTTGTAGGACTGGTATTTGGATTTTGCCACATTGGTATGGGTCGGCCTCATGTTTGCATTGAATTACACAGCCTTTCTTCAAAAGAGGTATTTTCCTCTTGGACGGAGTTGATACCTCTTCATATCATTGTGAGAAAATTCAAACACCAGTCCATCACCTTTAACGAAATAGGGTGAAAGTAGCTTCTATATTAAATCTACTGGTAGTCTGGAAAATCTACTTATAAACTTGAATATAAAACCATTTAATTTGATTCGTTTTATTTTATCCTTCTAGGTCATCTTTTGCCTGACAAGATATGCGTTCGTTAATTTTTTTCTCTTGACTAAAAGCGGCTTTTCTACTTCTTCAGATGCAGCATCAGTCGTCTCAGAGCAATGGAGCTGCAAGAAGCCTCAACATTGGCTCTTCTGGACCCAGTGGGGACGGAGATGTAGCTGCCGATGAAGACGTCTCTGGGCCTGCTGAAATAGATGAAGTTAACGGGACTAGTAATGCAGGTTCAGTCTCAGTTTCCGCACCAACGACACCCACAACGGCTGGAGCCGCGG